GAGGAATGACTCAGTGGTAAAGATGTCACTTCCCTTGACTCCTCAGCCTGTGCAGTACTGGAAGTGCTCTGTCATGATTGTTACAACAACGTTCGCTCATCTTATGAGCCAACAACCAACAATCTCTTAAAATTCATTTCTAAACAGGATGTTCTCTGTGAGTTTTAATAGTCAGGCCAGGTCTAATTCACGTTTGTTAAAGAATGACAGATGTGAGTAAGGGGAGAAGGAGCTGACCTTTGCTTGTGGGTATTGTCAGGATGAATAACACAGGGGGCATATGGCTCTTCATATCCTGCAGGTGTTTTACCAACATCTCCTTTTAGAACCTCCCATTGCCCTTTGAGGTGCTGTAGCACAGTCATGATACCTGATAAAGCATTTAATCAATTCATTTTGTTTTGTTTTATGGTTTACAGAAAGTCTGCAAGTGGACTGTGAGTTTTTTGAAGTGAATTTCTTATTCAAAATTATTCAGTTCGTTTTTCCCTGCTCCTTTGACCCTGCAGCCTACCATTTGCAATTCAAGCTGTGCTGTCTAGTTTTGATTCACCGTACGGTCCCCATGCATGATACCATTTATTTTTCCTAAGCACAAATCTTAGAACAGTCACATTGTTGGTGTGATCACTAATGCTGAAGTAATTTCAGTTTTGTTTTCTGTGATGTCTAAATCTAATGTTTTTCTTTTATGTGAATATTTGCTATGGAAATGTGGGCAGGAAACACACACAGGGTCCTGAATATACCAGAACAGTTCTGAATTTGTAATTCAGTAAAAGATTTTTCAATACTTGGCCAATCTAGCATCATCTGCATTTGGCTGATGGAAAGCTAATAGCTAAAGGCAAAAGTGATTATGTGTCTTCTCAAAGGTCATACTAGCAATTAGTGTCAGAAGCAAGAAGAAGATCTCTCTTTCTCACTGAAAATGCTTACAGCCATTATTCATGGGCATCCCCCCAAAATATAGGGCAACCTACATAACTGCACAGCTGTGGCTGCACAGGAACGAATTAACTGTGGTGATAATGTCGAGAATGCTTAGTAAGGGCTGAGTCTGTGACGCTTCTGTGTGTCCCATCTCAGAGGTATGGCAGTTTAGAAGACAAGAGACAGCTGTCATCATAAATGATTTCAATGGCAAGTCACACCTCTGACTTTCTCACTAGGGAAGCTAAACAGGAACCTCATCTGTGACCCAAGAAATATGGAAGCGTTGGTGGAAGAATGTGAACCAGTTCCCCCTGTTCTGTCCTGGTCTGGCAGTAAGAAAGGAAAGTTAAGACAGGTATGCAAAGGGGCAGGCGCAAAGAAGGTGTCTTGTAGTCTTCCTGTGGTATGTGGAGGCTGGTACTGGATGGAGTGGAAGGGGGGCAGTTTTATGCCTTAGCTACCAACCTAGCTACAGGTTGCAGCGCGTGGAAGGAGGCAGAGATCACAGATGCACTTAAAGGCTGGAGCAAAACTCCAGGGTTCCAAAAAACCAGCGGGTACGCGAGCTGTGCCAGGCCCTCGCGGCACGTCTGCAGCTAATCTCTTGCTTCCCACATCTCCTGCACAAACAGCTGTAAGGGCTCCCGCTTGAGCTGACGGGAGAAAACAATACCCGAGTGCATGCGAGGACCGTGCATACGGGCCTGCCCGTAAGGGTGGGGTGGTGATCTAGTGGGCAGCCCTGGCAAGCCCCCACATAAGATTTGTTGTCCATGGTGTAATATTATTCAGCCCTCATGATTCATGGGGACCCGGCAACTCACAACCAGACACAGAGGCTGACTGCTCCTGGACGGTGCTGCTCCCACATGGTGGTGAGGGAAGACAAGAATCAGAGGTGAAGGGAAAGCAGTCACGTGGAGACGAGGGAGGAAGAGGAGCAGCAACAGGGAGGCCCAGCCACCAAGGAGCTGAGATGCCTGTGACCAGCGCGAGAGGTTGAGAGCGCTGTGTCCGTGGCCTACAAGCCAGTGACTCCCCACGGCTGAGCGTGGCGCACCGCGTGCGGATGGGTCATCACCACCTGCAGAGGAACCGCCATATTTAACGCGTCCTGCACTGTAAACGTTTAGCAAGGTGATGCTTGGGCCTTCCACAGACCGCTTGCCACGGCCTCGTGAGCTGTTAGCGCTCCTTGTCCTGCAAAGCAGAGAGGGAGGGCCCTGAGCTGGGGTACGGCTGCCGCCTGGCACGCCGTTCCTCTCGGCCAAGCGGCAGACAAGCGCAGGGGTCCGGAAAGAATCGGAGAGCTACAACAATCACCTTCGGAGACAAAGCGCTTAAGAGCGCTGTGTTACACAGAACAAAATAGCAACAGCCGCGTTTG